TATGTATGGCCGTAACTATTAGAGATGTTGAAATCATATAATTTAAATAATTAATTTTTATTTAAAACTGATAAGTAATAAAAATACGTAAATCATTAATTTTTTTTAAAAACTTTGTTAACATAATAATGATAGCCGGTACTACTACTGTTGGTGTTGGTGGTGGTGGCGGCGGTAATCAAGGAGTAGGCATAAAGTCAGAGAGTATACGACTATCAGCATTTCTTTTAGATTGCCTTGCAGTTGGTTGTTTAAAGGTTTTTTTCTAAAAAAAAAAAAAAATCAAAAATCAAAAATTCCAATTTTTAAAATGACTAAAACTGAAAATATGCTGCAATTGTTAAATTTTAAAAAAGGGATTTAAACGTTTTGAGTTATATTTAAGAGGTAGAGAAGAACTTTTATTAAGGGTTTATATAGTTCATAAGAGTACTAATGGTAGTAGCATTGTTGATGGAAATGAAAAAACAAGTTCTACAATATATGAAAGTAGCAGAATAAAATATAATTCTTTATCACTTGCAAAATCACAGTAAGTTTTTTTTCTTTTTAAATTTTATTTTATTTTTTTATTTTATTTTTGATTAAATCAATTTTATTTATAGTCATGATGCATTATTTTCACCAAAAACACGTAGAACGTAAGATGCTTTTTTTTAAAATCAATAATTCATTAATTATTAATCAGGTTAATTTGATTATTATTTGATTATTTGATTAATTACTTATTTTAGATTAAGTGGTGGAGCTGATATACTTGATTTAATATTATCACCATCCAGTCCACTAGATAATGATCTATCAAAAGTAATCATTATAATAATGATGTTTATAAATATAATTATATATAATTTATTATCTAATCATTATAAACTGCATAATTATATTGTTTAGGATGAATCAAATATTGTATTTCTTATAGCTGGATATGCTAGATACAAATGTCCATATGTTTGGGTAATAATATTATCATAATATTTTACTTTTTGTATTGTTATTGTAATAACATATGTTTATTTGTTGTTTTTTTCATATGTGTTGACAGTTAAGATCAAATCATAAAAATTTAATTCAAATTGAAGATGATCAGAAACTAGAAACTGATAATCCACTGAAACTTGACACAATAGCAAATTGGAAAACCCAAGGCATATTTACCATTAATTCATTAATCAATTTATAAATCTGTTTATACATCTATTAATTAATTAATTATCCATTAAAAAAAACAGATATAAAATTATGGGACATTATAGAAGAAGTTATAACACTAAGTCTTAATATAGCACCAGAAAATCCATTTGAAATAAATCATTCATATTATGATACATTGCCAGTTGAAGAGTGTGCTGTTAGTACTGGTGCAATGATTGATTTCTTACAAAAAGTATACATCAAAGACACAAATTATGCTAATAAAGGTAACTAACTCATTATCTATTTATCATGAATTATTATTATAATCATTAATGTGATTTGCACATTTTATACACACATGCTCTAACACTCTAACACTTCAAATCTATAAACAATAATACAAACATTTATA